CTCTAAACCACCTCCTTAGACAAATTTTAGGGAGGAATTAGAAAAATACAACTCCAACCATACTCCCTCTATTCACCTCATAAAATAAGGAGACCTCCTAAATCTGAGGAGATAGAAAGGACTCCTAATGGCTCCCTATAATTTAATGTTGCTTTATTTAATGAGTATTTCAAACCTTTAATTAACACTAACTATTTTTTATATTATTTTTAAATAGGGATGGACCAATTAAAAAAAAGTTATAACATTTATGACTCCCTAAACTATAAAGTATGATTGGAGTTTAAATCTTATAGAGAGCTCCTAAAATAACTTTTATATGTTTTTAGTTAAAATTTAATGCTCTCTAATTATATGAAAATGTTATATATATATATATATATCTCTTTCCATATATAGGTTGTGAATCTATAGTTTTTGCTAATTTTTTATATGAATGTGTGGTCCAAATTCATAATGCAGTAACATAAAATAATTATGTTTTTAGAATGTGAATTTTTCATAATGCAGTAACATAAAATAATTATGTTTTTAGATTGTGAATTTCACATCGGAAAATTGAAGCCTTGCCTTATAGTTTTAAAAGATCTAGGAAGTGTTGCCATTATGTCTTTACTTCAACAAAACATGTTTCATTTATAAAAACCCCCCAAAAAATTAAAATATATATGTTCCCTTTTTTCTTGTTATGCGTGTAAAATAATACAGTTAGTAGTATTACATATTTTCTCATGACAGTTTGGCAATCTCTACTAATGTATATAAAACTCGATTTTAGTAAAATTTAAAGATGTCGTCATAGGAACAATGAATTAACAAAAGTATAGTGATTCTCACACGGTTTGCCACATTAAATTAAGTATAACATTTGTCATGAAGAACCCAACCATGATATATAAACTCTTATCATTGGAGATGACAAAGTGGGCAGGAAATTAATCAATATATAATGCTTAATTTTTAATTTTTATAAAGAAAATTTTAGGAGTAGGGGAGGCTACCCCATCCTAAGGCCAGAATATACCAAAGCCTCTTAAGAACTTACAAAGGAAGTCTTAGCATCTTTTTTAGTTTTTACAAATTATCCACGAAGAGAGATTTTCAATTGTCTTCTTTAATTAGTTTTTCTTACATTTATTTTGCCAAGACATTTTAGGACCACTGAAATAGTTGAGAGATTCCTCAAATATGTTTATTTGAGGGACACCCTTGTAGGGCCCACTCTATATTGTATTTCACTAATCAAATCTATTTTGTAGATACATCATCTCTACAAAAAATCACTTGAATCCGATCATTTGACCACTCAATTGAATTATTGAAATTTAAGTACTTTCTTGAAGCACTGTGTTCATTGATTTTGTAGGATACAATTGGATATCGAAACGGTTTCGGATTTATTTAATTTTTTGCAAAAATGATTTATGAATGTAGACTTAAAAAATAGATGGTTTGGATCATTAACATTTTTTTTTGTGGGGGGACCCTAAGGGGTGTCCCTCAAATCCCTCAATAGAAGGGGTATATATATACACACAATTATTCTCTTATCCGGATGTCCGCACGCTATTATCGTGCGGATACTATTATAAACAAGCAAAAAACCAAAAGGGAGGTAGTACAAAATACATAACGTTGGAATGATAATGTCCGCATAGGAGAATATATATATTTAATCAGTGACTTCAGTGCTGATGTATTTTAGGCAATTATCCAAACCAATAATCATTTGGCCCTTAAATAATAAGTACTAGCATCTCCTTCGTGCATGAGCTTTTTTCTTTTAATATATATATTTTTATTATATCCTTATTTATAGAGAATTTATTCTATATATATAGAGCAAAGTAGAAAATGATAAAATATTCAAAATACTAGAAAATGTCCCTTATAGTTAATGCAAAAATTAAAAATTAAAAATATTAATTAAATAAGGATAATGGGTCATATTTTTATGGAACACAACTACCCATTATCTTTTTTAATTCTAAAATAAAAATCAATTGACACAGGCATAAGTGTGTGCCAATGGGCTAGTCTTTATTAAACATACTCTTGTTTCTTTTTAAAAAAAAATTATTTGCATTTTAATTTAGACTGTTAATGTTATACGTATTTGCTTCTTTAAAATAAAATAGTTGTGTTTTACATATTTGTTTTTTTAAAATAAAATAGTTGTGTTTTGAAATTGTTTTTTTTTAATGGTAATTTTGGGTTATTTAATATTAGCCCCTTGGCACACGCTCACTCGTGTCTCATTTGGTTTTTTTTTCCTTTTTTTTTTTAGAATTAAAAAAATATAATGGGTAGTTGTGTTTCATAAAATATGACCCATTATCTTTTTTATTTTTTTATTTTTAACATTTTTAATATGAAAAAATGTGAATTTACCATATTATCCTTATTTAATTAATAATTTCAATTCTGAATGTTTGCATTAACCAATGGTATTTCTGGTATATATACCATTTTATTGAGGGATCCCTCAACTATTAGGGTCTCTTACGAAATTTTGTTCAACGATCCAAACTATCTATTTTTCACATCTTCATTCAAATATCATCTTTACAAAAAAAAAATCATGCAAATTGAAAATCATTAAGGCATCTAATTAGGACCAACAAAATTAATTAATGTATACGGTGCTTTAAGAAAGTACTTGAATTTCAATAATTTAATTAAGTGGTCAATGATATCGGATTCAAGTAATTTTTTGTAGAGATAATTTTTGAATGAATATCTACAAAATAGATGGTTTGGATTAGTGAAATACAATGCTGAGTAGAGTTCACAAGGGTGTCCCTCAAATAAGTATTTGAGGGATCCCTAAATTTACTTTATATTTAACAAAGGAACATGCCTTAATTAAGACTCGATTCACTTCCAAACCCCCAAAAAATATGATTAATGAAGCTATTTCCCTCGTCCATAAAAAAATAATAAATAAATTCTAAGGTATTATAATAATAAAAATTGTCAAATTAAAATGCAATGCTATAACATCGTGACGAGCTCTATGCATTATGCAAACAAAGGAAAATTCTATCTTATTAGACTAAAAACTTAAAAATAATGAACAATAATGATAATAAATATTGATTGTACTTGTACTTTCTCGGTTTTGTAATGCAAGTACGTCAACTGAAGAACCAGTTTGCAAGCACAGTGGCCTTCTGTTTTTCTATTTCTTTTTTTATTATAAATTTACACTCGTGCCTTGTAGTTCTTCAGGCGTCTGTCCCCAATATATAACTATCAATAATTCAAAATCCGGGCACTTGGATTTTGAACTTTGATAAACTGTATTTGTTCTTTCTCTCTCAAATAGTGAGTGACCTTGTGAGTGATGATTCAGTTCTTACTTTTGTAATAGGGTTGGCTAAAAACTTCATGAGCAGTTGCAACTGCTGTAAAAAGATAGGTTTAATTTGATTTTCGAATTTCACAAAAGGAAATTCGAATTTAAACATCAGAGTCCAAGAGCCACGCTAATTCAAATTTATGCAGTTTTGTCTTGAGACCAAATCTGCAGAAATGTGAGGGCTCGAGTTTTTGCCCATTTTGTCATGAGACCAAAACTACAGAAAAATTGCTCTTATTCAATTTTAGCCTAATCGCAACCAACCCAAGTCCAATCCATTTTAAAATAGAAAGGAACTAAATCTTATAAAGTGTATCAACTTCTTGTGTTCAACCAAAGTGAGACTAAGGAAAACCTTAGTTTTCTATTCAAACTTCCAACAGTTTTGACGCAATGTATCACATGATCTGAAATGTTCATTTTTTAGGTCCTCATTGAAAGATCTTTCCTACAAAAATTCACTCTAAAAAATGAATAGTTCGGATTATGAAATTATAACGCGGAGTATGCCCAAATGATTGGTTAGTGTAATAACTTACTAACCGGTTAGCGCTTGAGCATTGTTATATATAAATGTATAACAATTGATGTGGAGTTAGACTTAAATTCAATCAACTAGCATTTAGTCTAGTGGTGACGTAACTTTGTTGTCGTGAATTATCTCATTCTAAAAATAGTTTTGCAAATATGCTATTGTTTGTCAATTTATAAAATAAAAAATGGATCAATTTTATATGGAACATGCTTGGCTTAGTATTTGGGTTGTCTTGTCCATCGCATTGCTGCTCGAGGTTTTTATGGGTCAATATTGGAAATAAATTTGAAATTTTATAGGTGAGACCGACGGGAGAGAAATTAGTTTGAGAATCGAAGCCAATTGTTCTCCTCTTTTATGAATTTGCTCTCTAACATGTATTATCAAACCTCATAAGTTTACGGTTGCTTTTGATTATTTTGACACATCGTTCCGTTATCATAGTCTAGATTTAGCTTTCCTGTACTGGATGCTCTTCATTTCTAAACCCCCCCAAGAGGAGCCAGCCCCGTTGAGGGAAGAAGCAAAATACAAATTGCAAAATCACCCCCTCTAAGAAAGGACTTGAAACGATTGAACCAAAAAATTTTAAGAGTATGTGATGTAAGAATCTAAAGAACAAAATGTTTGTGCATGTTAGAGTTTGTAAGAATTCGTTTTGCAATTCTATCAAATCCCCTCAATCCCACAAAATATAGAAATTAGAACAAGAAATAGCTATTTGACAAAAATAAAAGAACAAGAAATAGCTACAATCTGGGCAGCTCTCCTTCTTGCAGGTGTATTGATCAAATAGAATTAACAGATGATTACAAAATACACAGTTCAAACAAAACCTCTTTGCATTTAAACCTGCTTCTCCAATTCAACTTCATATAGATGCAGAAAACCAACGGTGAAGGAGAGATAATGAACAAAAGAATCCATTTATAACATTTCACTGTGATCAACGCTGAAATGTAAATTTCCGCTATCCGTTTGTATGGTTCACTAAGAACATGAAGCAGGTCCAGACAAGCGAAAAAAAAACAACATTGAGCAGCAGGATCAGAGAGACGTGTACACCATCGCCTGATTTCCACCACACACCATATATGATAGTAATTATTCCTGCTCGTTTTCAGGTATCTCGTCACCAAAACCCCGTTGCACTAATCTGTAATACAAAATACCCATAGTCGCCATGCATGCCCTGCACAAGATTGTGAAACAAATGCATTAGTAGAGTGCAGCTTGTTTCATATTCCGTATTGCAAACATTGCCTTCTCCTTGCGTTAAGAATTGAGTAAGCATGATGAAGACAAGGATTGTGCTTTGGTTCAGTCTCTAAATAGGGATTAGATAGCCAACATACTCTCATCTAATCTGTTTATTATATCAGCAGGTGCAAGAAAGGATGATCCAGAAAAGCAGGGGTCTCAATTGTCCAAGAGCAACTTAAACCCCAAAATCATGGGCAAGCATGGCACTTTAAACAAATGGCCCGCCTTCCTTACCCACCCTAAGGCAGATCTCAGAATCCCACAAGTTAAGCTAGGTGCAAAACATTAATCAGGTCTCCCGACCTTCCTTGCCTAGGGAGAATTAAAAGTAAACTTAATTAAGGAAAAGTGGGATACACAGACATTACATGATTGCTATCACAAGAAGGATTTTTCTTGGATCCATTCTTGATGATCTTTGATGACGGGCGCGACCCTCGGGGACATCATTTGCAATTGATCCATCTTTCCGCTGGGGTGCAGTCACTGGTAGAGTTGGCAATGCAGTTGACCAGAACGGAAGCAATGCTCTTAGAAACTTATGTCGGAATGGACCTACAATTAAAAACCCCAAGAGTTTTATTTTCGAATGAAAGCTTAATAACAGTTACAAGAAATGAAACCAGAGAATGCATTGACTATAACCAGATAAAAGAGCAGTAAAATTGGGTCAAAAGGAAAGCTCTCGATTGTGGCTTCTCTATCTAATTGGAAACAACCCTTTAGCCAAAGAAATAAAAAACGGAAACAACAATTCCCAGTGTCAATTTCACCTAGCAAACACCAAGCGAGAGGAGACTACATAATATTAGCAAATGATAAACTACAATTTTCGCCCCTGAAATTTGACTCAAATTTCAATTTGGTCTTCAGTTTTCAATTGTTGCAATTAAGTCTTTAATTTTTTTCAATTAAAAAAAAAGTGGTTCTTCAATCTGCGACAACTATTATTTAGTTAAAGAATGTATAACTTTCGAATGTAATTTAATTCAGTAAATTACCAGACTAATCCTGCATTCAGTTGAAGTCGCAGAAGCATGTTAATACTTGTATTTTACTATACATCTACTAATATGATATAAATTTTACTATACATGTGTATGTGGAAAGAAAATTGCATTGCATATGCTATATGGCTTCCATTTGACATAAGCAGCTAATGTGCCACATCAGTAAATGTGCCAAGTCAACATATGTAATAATAAAATTCTAACTATGGTTGATAAAAATACCTGATTACCTAATTTTTTTTTCAAAGAAAGGATCTAATCAAACATTTGGATCAATTCGAAAGTGTACTTTTGCCTATTATACTTATAACCAAAACAGTTCTGATCAATTCAAACTAGGTATGGCTTTACTCATAACAAAGAAATCATAACTTGAAAGTTCACACACACATGCAGGACTCTCTACTCACCCCTTCGTGAGTACTTTTTGCGATTCCCATCTTCATCATCTGCATAATATGAGATTTCAGAGTTTTGTCGCTCAACTTGGAATGCACCCTTTCGTGTTGTAGCACCAGGCTAGTTTTCATAGCAACAAACAAAATGAAATCATGAGACAATAGAAAAACACCATAAGAAGACTTATCAAGGCACGCACACACGAGCACAAGCCAGTGTAAAATGACACAAGGAAGGTAAGGAATAAGTTCACTAACTAATTAATTCAGTAAATAACAGCAAAATCCTCTTACACCTACAGGAGTTGTGCTTTTCACAAAATTCCCTGCTGCACTAGGACCTTCTATCTCCACTATGTCCGTCACTGGAAGTATAGAAGATCCTGCTTCTATTGAGAAATCAATTATGTTAGTTTCATCTTTTGCTGCTGATGAGCTTGCATTAATTTCCCTGCCTCCATTCAAAGATGCATTAATAAGAGGGTCTGAGGAAAATGCAGGCGGAGGACTACGGGATTCTGTCGATAACAATGAAACTGGATGATTTCCAAACAAGTTCTTTTCCAAGCCAGTCTGCATAACAAGAAAATATGTTCACATATAACTACTATAAAGGAGAAAAGTAAAGGCAACAACTACAACACTCATGTAAAGAATGTCTCAAACTTAGCACAACAAAAAAAGGACAAAAACCAAACTATAAAACCCTTAATGATGTGAAAGGAAGCAGCTTTCTGTAGGCATTTGGCCCAGAAAAATACACATTAATAAGAATAAAAAATGAAGTCATTTTTTAACCATGTATATATGCTTACCTATGGTAGACACTCGTATGGAATAAGGAGCATTTAATTCATCATTATAGAAAAGTATTGATATTTCAATACCCTTACAATTAATTGTATTAATATCATTTTCAAGGGTTTATCTTTATTCTAAACTCCATAGTACATGTGCAAGGCACGTGTTGGTATGCTAGTGCTACTCGTTATAGAAAGAACCACCGCCACCTTATCAAATTACACCCTTCTAACATATCTAACAATAAACATCCAAATTTGTTGTGTAGGATAATACATCTGCAATCAAGAAACTCTAGTGTGCCCATGTTAGGGAAAAGAGATTATCAGAGTCCTCCCAAAATTTTCAAGCAAATAATATAACTTTTAGTATTCGGAAGAGCTTTAAAAGCTAACTTAACCATATCGTCTAGTATCAACCAAAATTACAGTGCAATCCAATGCAACCTCCTTGACCTTTTTCCCTTCACATCATCTCTTCAACTAGATCAAGTTGACAATGACTATGTGAGTATTTTAGCTGGATTTCAAAGAAGACTAATAGCTTTCATTAACATTAAGTGTATGCCTACCAAAAGTTACACTATAATGCAACAACCACCAACTGCGTGAAGCAATATTAAGCAATTTTAATCAAATTGACATTAAATTACTTCTTTGTGATAATTTAAGAGTCACGACTGAGCCTTGCCTGCATGATAGCTTCCTTCAACTTTGAATGGAGGCGAGATGCTGAATCCTTCACATTCTTGGGAGGCCATATCTGCACCAATAGAGACCCATTTGAAAACAAAACACGCCATAAAAGTAACATAGCAGAATATAAATACTAGATACACCTACTGAAAAAATGTACTCTAACTTTAATAGATCAAGACAATACCACAAGTAGAAAGCAAAACTTACCGATGTGTTACATGTAGGACAAACATATCCAGCTGGTGCAGTATGAGAAGGGAAACTCTTGATATGTGAAACCAGGCAACTTGTATGTATAACATCTATATGAACAACAAAAGACAAATGTGTATTACGAATGTAGTATGAGGAGTTCAACATTTTCTCTATCCCTTCATATTGAAAAAATATGCAAGTGGCAGTAACTATATCTGCAAACCACTTACGCAAGCAACCTAGCCGAGTCATTTGAGAGCCAGTCCCCTCATCAAGTGCAACCTGACAGAGGCAGCATTTTGGAGGCCAATCATACTCTCCATCTATTACCCACTCTGAGTAGGTACGAACCTACAAGAAATCATAAAGACAGATCAGGCCCTAAAAGAGCCATAAATTCCAATTCTTTATAATATTCATTGTTAGAAACTAAGAAAACTGGCAACAACCCCCCATCCCTAGAACTTGAGTCAAGGCCAAGGGTCTGCTACGTCATACCTAGGCCTTTCACACCAACCTAAAACTGACAAGATATTAAGTACTTAAGCGGGCACAAAAGGGTCAAACAATTTTATATTCTCATGCAAGTAAAAGTTTCTAAATTTTGAACCCATACATCTATTAGATATTAATATATTGCATGTTATCATTTGCTTTTCTCATGAATTTATGTTCATCTGTCTCTCCTCTCTCTCCCTACACAAGTTACTTGTATGTATATGCACAAATGTGATGCTACACCCGCGACTCGGGGATCTTGTCGGAGCCCTTGGAGAGACATTTCTAGTGGCTATAATTTGTTTCTTCAAGGCTGTGTTTTCGTGGTAGGTTGTGGAGTTAGGGTCAGATTTTGGGAGGATGACTGGAGCCAGGGCGGTGTTTTGCAAGAGGTGTTTCCAAGACTTTTCAATTTGTCCAGGAAGCAAAACCACAATATTTCCTCTTTTATGGGCTCGGATGGGTTCCCTCTCAGCTGGGATTTTGGTTTCAGAAGGAATCTCAATGAATTGGAGATAGCGGAGGCGACTAGATTGTTGGATTTATTGGAGGGTGTGAGGTTGATCATTTCCAGATTGGACAAGAGATGATGGAAGCTAGACCCCTCCGGTCTATTCTCCTGTCATTCTCTCTGTTCTCATATTCAGAATAGTGGTGAGGGCGAGATCTTCTCCCCGTACACTCAAATTTGGAAGGCCAAGACTCCTCCAAAAGTTAAGATCTTTGTGTGGCAAGCGGTGTTGGGAAAACTAAATACAGATGATACACTACAGAGACGCTGCCCCTATTTGTGCCTTAGCCCTCACTGGTGTGCTCTATGTAATAAGGCAGGGGAGAGCGTGGACCATCTCCTTCTTCACTGCCCTTTCTCTCTAAAGTTGTGGGAGACGTTACTGAAGGAAGTTAACACGGTGTTGGTAATACCGGAAGGCTGCTTTGAACTTTTTTCCATCAGATTTGATGCTTTGGGAAGGGGAAAGAAAGCTAAAATTCTCTGGGGTAGTCTGATGCAGGCAGTGGTTTGGAACCTATGGCTGGAACGTAACAGGAGAATCTTCGAGGATTATAAGGGAGTGGGAGTGGTAGAGTTATGGGATAGAGTGAAGTTTTGGGCTGCCCTTTGGGCATCAACTTCCCTTGCTTTTAAGGATATACCCTATCCTACAATTATGCGCAATCTGCTGGCTGTAGTATCTTAAGGGGTTGTTTTATGTTTGGTTGTTTAGTTCTGTGTTGAGTGGCCTTGTGTCTGTTTCACCGGCTAGTTTTTTTTCTTTTTATCTGTGTTCTAAATGCCCTTGTTTTGATCCTTTCAAATTTGAATAAAAATGTTCCCACTCAAATTTTTTTTTAAAAAAAGCACAAATGTAAAATGCAAATGCTCATTCATAACTCAACTTAAGTTCAATCCATCCAGCGCCATAATTATTGATAAGTCCAATTCAGCCCCATGAATATAGAGAAGAATAATTTCACTGTGATTATAATCAAATCAACAAAACAACCAAACCATGCAGCCTAAACATTACAATACAAAATTGACCACAAACCCCAACACCAAAAAAATACTTACCACGCATATTTGGTGCTCGGGAGAACAGATGCATTCACCACAAACTGGAACCTTGTGCACGAAACAATACAGCTTGGTAGCCTGAAACACCAAATGCACCAATCTCCATCAGCCTTGGAAATTAACCATCCCAAGAAATGAAATCTTTAAGAAGGTCTACGAACTAGAATTTCAAGAATTGAATCAAAATAATGAGCTTAAACAATCAATCTGAACATTTCCAATCTAATAGTCAAATGCGGATGCCGAAACTAAATTCACAATCTTAACGATCGCCTCAGTATCACAATTACATTTACGATCCGATCTAAACCTTGAGCTACCGAAATCACGCATTGCGCTGTAAATTGAGTCGGGAAATGATAAACTAAAATTTCACACCACCAGTTTTCACGAGTGGAAAGAGAAAGAAAGAGAGAGGTACCTTGCGGCATTTGCAGACCACCATTGCAGTGAACGAATCGCAGTCGCTAGGGTTTACGATTCAGAGAGGTTTTTTGACTGATTATTTGGGCTCCTCTGTGTCCGTTGCCAACTCTAACGAAGTGCCTTCATATCAGATTTGCAAAAAAAACTTGTCATCTCAGGCAGAGCAGAGCAGACTGGCTTAACTCTCTCATAAGAGATCCATCCGTTTTCAGTTTTCCTTTTTTATTTTTTCTTTTCTTTTTCTTCTCTTTTTTCTTAAATTTGATAATCAATTAATCGCCCAAAATATTTGATGATGGACTTTACGGGTAAGTATTTCCGTATTTGGCAAATTTTCTATTGTATACTATCTTTTTTTATAGACAAATTGCTTACTAATGTTTCCAATGTGTGGGGGTGATCTTACCCACCTTAATTGAAAATTTTAAGTACTTCCAAAAAGCAAAAGAACGGAGGTGGTTTATAATTCAAGTGGTTAAGAGAAGTTGTAAATGATTCAATAGTATAGTGGTTTGGAGCATTTGCTCCCTCAAGAGTGTTCTTTTTTTATAAAAATTCTGGAATTACATTCATAATTTAACAAAAAAAAAATCAATAGCCACAAGAGGCCAATACAAACTAGCTACAAAAATAATAACACAGCAATCTAATATCAAAATTAAGACAATCTAGGGATTAAAGAAATTTTAGCATAGACATCCAACTAAAGAACAAACTTAAAATAACGAAAAATAAATAAAACTTGAAAAAAATCAAGTCATAATAATATATATAAAAAAAACTCTCACAAAAGAGAGGTGGAAAGCTCTCACAAAGGAGAGGTGAAAAATTCTCACAAAAAAAGAAGTGAAAACTACACAGAAAGGTTAAACAACTAAAATTTACTATTTATTTTAAAAGGGCAAATTCTAAATGTTTTTTTAAAGTTCAATTAAAAAAACTTCGAAAGAAAAAAAAAAAAGTTGTACATCTTCAACATCAGAAAGAGAAGTGACATCGTATGGTAATGTCATCCGACGCGATGCTAACGTGCCCCTTGCGATAAGCAACATGGACCACCCGTACCAAAGAATCATTTATTGAGAATGTTAGTCATGGTCGTATATTTTCTTTTTGTTTTGTGAAGTTCACAAAAATACAAAAATATATTTTTTTTGGGTGTCTTGAATTTTTTAAGAACTGATTTTCAGGTGGCATATGTATGTTTTGGTTCCCTTGTACATGAGTTCGACCCCTCCTCTTAGTACATTACAATAATTTAGAATATTGCATGACAAAAAAAAAAAAAAAAAAAAAAAAATATTTGGGTATAGTCGGTATTTCTCACATGTATTAACTTAATCTTTTTTTTTAATACAAAAAATATTTTATTTTAATTTAATCTGAAGTACTGAAAGGAGATTCGAATCCAATGGTAAAGTAGGGAGCACATCATCTCTAACCAACTTGATTAAGCTCATATATATTTGTGCTCAGTCTTAAAGATCAACTTAGTTACTATTCAAATAAATTACGTGGCTAATATGAAGGTTCACATCTATAATTTTTATATAGCACCCTTATTATAGAACCACTCCGTCCAATATCGCGGTTAAAATTTTGGGTGCATGTAGCAACTCTGTTATGTTGGGCTTGCAAAAATGAGCCCAAGCTTGTTGAAACAAGCAAATCGTCCCCTCATTTTGAATTTGAAAGAACCTCTGGTCTGGATCACAAAATCACCTTCGTCTCTCTCTTGTTTTCTTCCATTTTTCAAACCGCCTTCCCTCTTTCTTTTCTCTCTCATCACACTCTCCATCTCCAACGACACTATCAACTCTTCAAAATTCAAAAACCCTAAAACACACACACACACACTCTCTCTCTCTCTCTCTCTCTCTCTCTCTCTCTCTCTCCGTCCAATTTCGCCATGACAGCTGTCCCTCCGCCGGCGCCGGGCCGCGAGCTCTCCAGCCCCCCCTCCGACGGCATCTCTAACCTCCGCTTCTCCAACCACAGCGATCATTTGCTTGTCTCTTCATGGGACAAGGTATGCCCTCACTCTCATATATGTCGCCACGTATCCCCCTTCTCTCTATCTCTCTCTAACCCCTCTCTCTAATTGTGCAGACCGTCCGATTGTACGACGCCAGCGCCAATGTGCTGCGAGGAGAGTTCAAGCACGGCGGTCCCGTACTCGATTGCTGCTTCCACGACGACTCTTCCGGCTTCAGCGCCGGCGCCGACAACACTGTTAGAAGGTAATTAAAACCCCAAAACCCTAATGCTCTAAAAAAACCCATTTTTGAATTCTCATGCTTTGTCTATGCTCTGTGTCAATGTTCCAGGCTCGTTTTCAGCTCTAGTAAGGAAGACATCCTAGGAAGGCACGATGCACCAGTGCGGTGCGTTGAGTACTCTTATGCAGCAGGTATGTTCTCCAAGTTATCATTTTTTTACATTTGAAATTAGTTCCAATCAAAACCTCAAAGTGTTTTCTTGCAAAACTTTTTGTCCTAAATTGGCTGATTGATTTTGTATCTGGGCTGCTCAGAGTTTATAGTATGCTTTATTGTATTAGTTGTTCTTTAAATGGAAATATTTAGAACCTTAAATCATGTTCCTTACTTTATCGTAATGTTGATGCTATAATTGGTATTTTCAGTAATTTCATTCATTTAAGTTAAACTGCCGCCAATTTGTTTCCATTTACTGGAAGGATCCCACTTTTACTTTCTTGTGCGATAAAATGATATCAGGGCAGTTGATCACTGGTAGTTGGGATAAAACACTCAAGTGTTGGGACCCCAGAGGTGCAAGCGGACAGGAGCGTACTCTTGTTGGGACGTACCCACAACCCGAACGTGTTTATTCTCTTTCTCTTGTCGGAAATCGGTTGGTGGTTGCAACAGCAGGAAGACACGTCAATGTCTATGATTTGAGAAATATGTCCCAGCCTGAGCAACGGAGGGAGTCTTCGTTGAAGTATCAAACTCGATGTGTACGCTGTTATCCTAATGGAACAGGTAATTTTAGTAGCTTTTAGTTTTAGGACACATCTCACAAACTTTTTCTTTCTTGCACTTGGCACTTTGTCAAAGGTATTGGGAAGGGCAGAATTGTGTGGTTTTGTGGCTAACCACTCCCACAGCTTTTCCCTTGCCCACAACAAATAACTTTTTCATTTCAGTATTGCCTTAAAAAATAAGTTACAAAATTTTAAGTTGTTTTTGTGAATGGAATGCATCCATGCTGTTGCTTCTTTCATGTTTGATCCTATGATTACTTTTTGCAGGTTATGCTCTTAGTTCTGTGGAAGGACGGGTTGCGATGGAGTTTTTTGATCTCTCAGAGGCTAGTCAGACCAAAAAGTAAGCATTCAGCTATTACTGAGAAATTGTGCTTTACATTGACTGATAGTTTCAGTTTCATGACCCCCTAACCTTAGGGTTTTCTTTAGAATGGCCTACGACATCTTAGATGCCACCCACCACCTCAAACCAAAAAAAAACCAAACAACAAAAGAGTTGTTCTTCTAGATATATGCACCACTACACCTCTATATGGTCCATGATGATTCCTGATTATCTCTTCATAAATTAGGATGTGCCATCGTCGTAAAGTGTGCTTCTGTTAGTTCACTGCCACAACTTAATTATTGGGTGGTTCTAAGCTTTACTTCGCTTGTAGATTTTTCTTGGTGGAACAACTGTAAAATTCCTCTTTGGTGATATTGTGCACTGATTTCTGTCATTCATCCTTAATTTGTTAATGGTATTAATCTTGGTGCAGATATGCATTCAAGTGTCACAGAAAATCAGAGGCTGGAAGGGACATTGTCTATCCAGTAAATGCAATTGCATTCCACCCCATGTAAGTTACTTTTTTCTTTTAAAATATTGTGCACTAAACTTTTTATGCATTATTTTGTGGAATTCATAAAGAGATAGGCCATGTCTGGTTTCCTGTTGAAGGAATCTAATGATTACAGTAACTACATTTGGGAATATCGTAGTAGTCAACTTAGTTCATGGCTTTTTCTTTGGTTGAATGGTTTGAAAAATGGAGCGCATTGATAGATACAGATGCAAATAAGGATCTGAAGTGTTCCTGGATTGTGTGATGAATTTATGGCTCACATGATACTTGATCTGCAATAATAAACGTAGTTTAGGTATTTAAACCTAAATTAAGCTCGTGGGAAGCTGAGTAGTTCACTTAGCTGATTGATGCTTTAATAAAGTTTGTGAGTGAGATTCCTTTACATTATTGACTGACTTGTGGACAGCTCATTTTCACCACATGGGGACAAATTGAAAAAAGCAGTCATCTAGAAACTGGAACATGCTTTCGCTTGTATGAGTTATAACTGAACATTACACTGTTTGAACTGGATAGAGTTGGAGACATTGTTCTTGAACTCGAAATGAATATTATGTTAGCAATCTGAGTTTTAGAATAGTGTTCCTTTTTTACGCCCCCACGTCGCCATGATATAATAAGTTGCCTTTTACTCCATGTGCATTTTTTTATTATTTCATTTTGAAATTCAATTGCAGCTATGGCACTTTTGCGACTGGAGGTTGTGATGGCTATGTGAATGTATGGGATGGGAACAACAAGAAGAGGCTGTATCAGGTAATTACTTGCTTTATGTGACACTGATGTATTATTCACCTATGGTGAAATTACAATTATAATAAATTTTTAATATGCTCTTCTTTTACAGTACTCAAAGTACCCTACAAGCATTGCGGCACTTTCTTTTAGCCGAGATGGCCGCCTATTGGCTGTGGCTTCAAGTTATACATTTGAAGAGGGAGATAAACCGTAAGCACCTCTCTCTCCCTCTCCATTGATTTATCCATCTATCCATCTATCCATCTAATGTGTTATCTGTTCAACTTGCAGCCACGAACCAGATTCCATCTTTGTTCGAAGTGTAAATGAGATAGAGGTCAAGCCAAAGCCAAAAGTGTACCCTAATCCACCAGCATAACTGAAATTTGTTGAAGATTCAAAAGTGGAAAAAAAAAAAGTGAAATCGTAGGACTTTGGCTTTTGTTTTAGTCACTCTGGCTATATATATATTTGTTTAATTCGATCCTGTCTGGTTCCGTTGTGGCCTGTGTATGAGACTTTGGCCATCGGAACTCTAAAATTTCTTCTGCTGTCAGAAACGATGATGCCCTGTAACGCAATTGTTATGATTTCATCTACATGAAAAATGCCTCCTGTCCAATCAGTTCTTTTCTTGCATCTCCTTTTGTAAATCTCACGTTGTCTTCTTTTGAAAATCATTCTACCATTATAAATACTAGTCATCAAAACTTTCCCCAAATTTTAATCAGAAAATAAAGTGTCAGATTACATCATTGCTTTTTTACCAAAAATAAATCAGGTTCGTACTGGACCCATATACAAAGACTTGGAAAACGTTCTGATGAATATATCATACTCTTCAACTAGAAACATAACTTGCACAGTTTCACAACAGAAATACAATGTGCGAGATAACATAACTTTCTAAACACTTTCGGTTCTTAAAATTTGTTTCTGTGTGTGGACTATAATCCATAAGCTACTTAACAATATTCCAAAGCTACCCACGCATACAGGATCAGAAGTGCCACAAAATGGAATGTTGTCATCATTGTCTTCAGCCAAAACCCCAAATGCATCCTGCTCCTCCAATGCACTAGATATGGAAGAGATGAGAGAGAAAGCTCAAACCTTCCTTGGTATATGTCTTTGCAATGCTATTTCCTTGCTATCACCTAAATCCAGATGGAGCTGCTTGTGGACCGCCTGCCCCTGCTCTCCTCATAGCTCTTGATTGAGTAAGCATCTCATCGTAATTCTGATAAAGAAATTCTCTTTTACTACTTGCAATGCTGGTTGTAACAGAATGATTAATAAATAAAAAAATTGTAATGGAAAAAAGTACCCTTTTCTCAAATGCAGCATCACGAGAATCAATTATCTTGTCTACCAGTCCGTATTCTATGGCTTCTTGTCCTTGAAAATATTTGGGACGCTGGATGTCTTTAGCAATTTCTTCCTTGGTCTTCCCTGTTCCTTTTGCGAGTAACTCAATGTAATACTCTGTGTTTGCATCCAGTTCCTTGGCCTGATAGCAGTTGTATAGAAGATGTGTAAGAGAGAGAGAGAGAGAGAGAGAGAGAGAGAGAGAGAGAGAGAGAGAGAGAGGTACCTTAATCCACATGTCGATGACTGAGCCACTTGACCGGCTGACCTTTGGCAGATATAATTTTGCTGGAATTCAAAATAATAACAGTTATCAAAAAGTGCACAACAAATGGGTGCAGACAATAGCACCCTCTTTACAGATTCCCAGATTGCATGATAATGTTTCAAAAGTAAGCTTAAATTTCAAGATGGAAACATACTGGAGGAATTTGGCTGTACGGCACGATAACCTCTTGTTCCAAGTGACAGAAGCAGTGCTGCTTGACCATATGCCATGCCACAATTCACAGTATACACATCTGATTTGACATACTACATGCAGACATACACAGATAAATCAAGAGCAGGTCAGGTGGCTGGCTTAAAATGGTGTAAATGGAAAACGTCAGGTCTATGTAATGGATATTATTCCTTAATGAGATAACAGACTCTAATTTGGTGTCAGACTGATTTTTGTACGTTATTCAATACATATTATCCTATATAATTAACACAATGAAAAATTACCAATTTACTTCACTGATCTGCATTTATAAATAGATATAAAGAGAATACCTCATAGAGTTGATAATAACACTTACACTCATCATGTCAGCTATGGCATATGCCTCAGTTTCAGATCCAACACTCTCCATCTTCTCATTCTAAATAGCACCAACCAAATTAATACAGATAGGTAAGACTTCGAATAGTGAACATGATGGAGGAAACCTAGAAGTTATATTTCACTCATCATTATCAAGTAAACTGAATTACAATCAGGACTTCCCACACTAACCTGTGTCCCAGATGAATTTATGTACAAATATATGGGCTTAGAAGGGTTATCATAATCCAACCACATAAACTGAGCAACAAGAAGCTCAGTTACTGCTGGTACAATCTACAGAAATCAGATACAAAATAAAATGCTGAGTCAGAACAAAATGAATGAATAGATAGTGACGAGAGAAATAACATTGCTTTATCTTGCTGCCAGAAATATAATCTCTTACTGGCATGCCCAAATAGCATATCCGAGCATCTAAAAGTAAGGAAGGCAGATCAGGAGGAGCAGTTCTGGGTCTTCCATATCCTCTTGCACCTCCCCGATACATGCTCACACTCATACTATATTTTGAAGGGCCCTTGTCATCCACGCCTGACATACTCCACATCCCTCCATGATTCAAGTAGTTGTTCGCAGACGAGATGCTTTGCTGTGAAAGAGTTTTTGAAACCAAGAAAATGTAACGTTAGCTGAATTTTGTACATTTTTATTTAGGTTTAATAGAAATCAACTTAGCACTTCTATCATCATTGAGCCACTTAGAAATTTTGGAGTGTACAGAGAATGCACCTCTGTAACTTTTTCTGACTGACGTCGGGCAGGATTATCTTCTGTCATGAACATGTCCATTTGGGAAGGAGAAAGGCCATACAGATAATGGGGCACATTCTTGTAATTGTCCATCACTACAAATGAGAAAAATAGAGAAAAGTAAGTAGGAAATCCAATTTATTTCATCCTGGATAAAACTGGCATTCCAAGTTGCTTTAGAAATTAAGAATCAGAAGACTCAAGTTTCAAACAAAATGCAAAATGATTGTCGGGAGGGCAGGGGGCACTGCAGATGAGCATAATCAAATTACAACATATATCAGAAGAATAACTTCCGATGCTAAGATCAATGGTTATGGCATCCCTAGAAACACTGATATCAATATAAAGGTACAAATGTCCTGCGTTGAAGAAAAAATGACATCCCGGTGTAACATATAAGCTATTGGGCTTCTTTTGCATGCAAATCAATTTTTCAAGGTTAACCTTTGGTATCGAAGCATGAAAAGTGTGGCCTAAGGTGCTAAGTCGTTGAATAATGGTAAGTGAGGAAGCTACCCAAAAGTGAAGAGGTCAAACACCGGATCAGCGTTGATAGAGAAGGTTGATGAGGAAATCGATCTTTGAAAGCATGGTGAAATTTACATCTCCCATGTCCCAACTTGAAAATATAAAACATCACGACTTAGGAAAGTTATTGAGAACCCTTTCTTGCTAACCAGTTTTGCATGGACAAGTTCTACCCATGGGTAACATCAATGGTTATTAACTTTATCTACGTAGCTCATAAAGAATACTAAGAACCAAAAAAACAGCATCTTGAAATACATAAGCACTGGACTTTTAAGTGCTTTTGGGGTACACTCAACCACTAAGCATAGACACGCACCAATCCACAATCCTCAACGATGCCGAGCTTTCCTTGGCTTCTCCTACCAACATATGGTCTGTGTGCATTCTACTTTCAACATATTAACAGAGCATGACCACTCTAGTTCACCCAACCGTTCCTTATGATCCATGATAATAATATAAGGTAACATGAAATTGCCTTGTGCACAAGCTTATATTTATTTTGTGGCCATTTTCCATCACAACAGCTCTTCCATTTCAGTACCCAACCCCTTACAATTTTCCTTGAAAACTCACAAGAACTGAGCACAAATTTGAGACTGTGAAACCACCATTAATAAAATCCTCAAAAGCAACATGATAGCAGGGCTATAGATGAGAAAATTGGGGTAGAACCAAATGTTCTTTTGGTTTGCAAACAACTGTAAACGTTTGCCTGCACTTCCAAAAGGCTTTACTATCTACCCTCAAAACTGATAAAAAAAAACTTTGTCCCCTCAAATATCATGCGGGTAATAATTGAATATTCAAAATTTCAACTTTGTCTATATTTCCTAACTCTCTACGGAGCAACCCAATTGAAACCTCGCAACCAAAAAATTAGAAACAGGAAAGAAAACCCACATGGCATATGCGATTGGATGAAAGAAATGAATCACAAATACCCCTTAAAATCAAACTAGAAGAGATGGGCATCTATGAAAATCAATAAATAAACAAAGAGAGCAGCAGGGTAGTGAAGACTCACGTCCATCTTTGAGATTTTCTTGCCTGAACTGCTTGGGAATGTGTTCCGAAGCCTTGCAATAGGCAGACTTGAAGCGTCTTTGAGCTGCGAGCCTTCTTGAAGAAGAAGGTGTAGCGGAGAAGACCTTGGTGCCATGAAGGAAGGTATTTGGGATCCCAGAATTGAAGGCACCTGCTTGACGACCTTGGTAATTGTCTATGGCGGGTGAGGGCGGAGCTGAGAGATGAGAAAGTAAAGAAGTGGCCATGGAGAAACAGAGAGATTTCTCCGGCTATTGTATTCTCAGAGCTGGGAAACTGTAGTTTTTCACTTTGAATTTTGATTGGGTAGGGAAGCAAAACTGCAGAAGGCCAAGCTGAGATAGAGAGAAGAAGGTTGAGGTTTTTGGTGCATACGTGTGAGATGGGTGATGCTCCACCGAGTCCAGAATCTACGGGCTAAGAGATCCGGGTCGGATCGGCCCCATTTTATCTTGTTTTTGTGGGCTTAAATATAGGAGGTTCCAGCCCATGAGAGGTAGGTTGATAGGCTCTTGACCTCTGGAGATGTAAACTTTCTTGGGTTAATTTCAGTTTGGTATCCTGAAGTTGTACCCTTAAGACATGTTTGTCTCCCCGTTCTCAATTTTAACAATTACGTACCCTTAGTTTATAATTTTTATGCAATGTAGCTATGCCATTCAATTGGTTGTTAAAGAATCTGTTAAGTGATGACGTGGCACATGTAGGGCCAACATTATTTTCTTACTTTGAATAAAATAATCTTTTTAAAACACAAGTTGAATAAAATATTAATAACAACATTGTTGGAGTCACACCGGACTTGTAGCTCAAGTAGTTAAGAATAATTATCTTTGCATCCAAAGTCTTAGGTTCCATTTTCATCTCCTCCAATATTGTTTGTATAAAAATAAAATAAAAATTGTTCAAATTATGTCTGCCCCCAACAATATCTTATGTATTTAAAACAAACAAAAAAAATATTATTGGATCCTAAATCCCATTTGAAACTAAAAAGTGGTTGAGTTGTGTAGGGCCTTTTTCTTCTAGGAGCTACAAATGAGTTGGGCTGCCGTAATGAGCAAACTGAAGAAAATATCCCTTGTGTCTGAGTTTAAAGATTATACCCCAAAATGTTTCGAAAAGGTAGTAAAACCTTAGGAAACACCTTGGTTACCTTCACCAACAAAAATGACGGCTACTTACAGGTAGATTCTTAGTGCTTACAGATGAATTCTTAGCTTGGCATGAGGAGATCGTGGCATGGAAGCAAAATTGGCATGAGTTTAGCACTGAAGAGAAAATTATGTGTTCTTAGAAGGAAGAAAGGGTGTCAAAGTAAGAAAGGAAAGGCTTGCAAGTGGGTTTGGCTAAGAGTTAAGGGAGAGAAAGGAAATGGTGGCTTGAGTGTCTCTTTCGGTAGCTTGATAGTGACTCTGTCAAATGTTAGAGAAATCTGCCAGACAAGGGAAAATGAGAAAGAAGGGTGAATAGTGCACGAAATTGCTGGGTTTTGCAGGTAAGAGAGGAAGTTTGCTCTCTGGATATGGATCATTTTGGGTAGAAGAGACCTTATTTATAGCCGATGGAAGCCATCCATTTCCAAGAAACCCTAATGGTTTCTATCCAATTTGGCCAAATATTTTCCTCTCTTTCTCTTCTCCTCCCTTGACTTTCCCCATCTTGGTGAAATTTCCTCTGCCTATTTGCACAAAATCAGGGATTTTTAGGAGCTCAAGGCCCTTTCCCGCATCTGTTTCAATGGGAGGCTCTCATTCTCAACTATTTCCCTTTTTCTTTCCTTCCTCTTTCCTTGGATAGATCTGATGAAGGAAAGCAAATGGATACACATGCTAGTTCGAAGGGTGCCTCTCATCCTGGTAGCTTGCGCGCTAATATCCTTTGGTTCTTCGGATGTGTTGCGCGCTAACATCCACTTGTTCCTCCCATGTGCTCCTCCTAGCAGCTCTGTGTACGTTGCCATTTTGCTCCCTTCGTTGCTTTATTCTTCAGCCAAGTGCTGGAGCTTTGCAACTCTTTTATTGTAATTGTATGGGCCAAGTTGATTTATTAAGTAAGTGGGCTACTTTTATCAAGCGTTGGGCCTTTTGGTTGAGTCAATAGGCTATTTTGGTTGGGATATTTTCTCTATTGTGCTCACCCATATGTTTGGGCCTAAGAAATGGGCTTGAGTTCCAAGACTCCCAAGCAACCCGGAACTTCCATTTCTCGGCCTATCAATGGGCCTCATGACAATTTATTACCATCTATACCAAAACCCACTCAAGCAAGCCCCGGGTATTTGAGTGGCTTGGAGCCCACTTAAGCTTACGGTGTGATTGGGTGCGGAATAATAATTCCTTGCTTGGCGTGGCATGTCGCTTGGCGTGCTTCAATTTTATCATCCTTGAATAGGGACACGGTGCTTAGTTTAGCATGGGCTTGTATTTTATAATATTATTTCAATCCTTGGCATGACAAATTATTTATTTAGCATGGCACGTGGACTATGACTTGTATATGACGAGCCTTCGTGTACTATGATATGTGACTTTTCTTAATACAGTATTGTATTGGACCGAAAACTTATTTGGGCCCAACCATGGACTTTTTTGGGCCTCAACAAGTTGTAACATTTTTTGAAATTTGTCTACGGAACGTGAAAGAAGATTTTCTCACATTGATGTCATGTTTACTTACATAGAATTAGAAAAGTCATGAATCGTTTTTGGAAGACAAGAATACGTGTTAACAAACTTGAATTTAAAAGCTTGTGAGTAGAAGAGCAAATTCAATAGCCCAAATTTAAAAGCTTTTCAATAAAATCCAAGGAATCACAATTCAGTCAATTTTGCTATTGTAGTTTCGTATTTGTAGCAATTCAAGAACATGTTAGTATTCTTGTCAATTTCTTTAACGATGCAAGAGGCAATTTCATCAACCCAAAACCCTTTGACCTTAAAAGCTTGTTTGAAATTCTCCCCATTTCATATTAGGGCTTGAAATTCAACCACTAATCCTAATTTTTGAAGAACCCTAAGCCCAAATGACCAACTTCAAGCCCTAATATGAAATTAGAGGAGTTTCAGACGAGCTTTTATGCTCAAGGATTTTGGGTTGACGAAATTGCCCCTTATATCGTCAAAGAAATTGACATGAATACTAACTTGTTCTTGAATTGCTACAAATACGAAACTACATGTTCAAAATTGATGAAATTGAAACTACAAGGTTAAAAGTGGTTGAAGTGCCAAACTACAAGGACCAAAAATGACTTTTAGCCTAAATATATAATACATACCCATACACTTGAAGTCACGTGTTCAAATTCCTTTCTTTTAATATCGTTTGTATAAACATAAAATAAACAACAACATACTCACAAGCTCACAACAATCTCTATCTCTATTTTAGCTTTAAATCTAATTTATTTTTGAACTTACAATTTTTATATTTTTTTAGAAATAAAAATAAACATTAAATCATATAAAACCACACTAGTTCATAGCCCTATGAACTAATTTTCAATAAATTTAGCATAAAACAAATGCATATTAAATGCAATAAAAGAGTTAACACAAGAACAATGGAGAAACTGCCAAGAAGACCACAAAAACTGCCAAGTTAATAGGCCATATAGGTTTTTTTTTTTCTTTAAAAACAACATGGGCTACAATAGGTTTTGGTATATGATTTCTCCACTTACAATCCCTTTTGCTTTTTAATATTTTTTAAATCAATTTTATTCTCTCTCTTTCCCATTCTACCCTTACCCTACATTAATTTCTTTTTACTTAACCGGAAAAAGAAAGTGAAGGCAGCAGCTATATTAGAAGAACGATCCTTAACCAGGAAAAATTAAAAAGAAGAGGAAAGATCTACAAAAGGTGCAGAATTTTTGCTTACAAAGAGTAACCCTGGAAAGATACTGATTACTATGCTGAATCCAGAATACAAAGCAAGTAATTTGACTGAAATAACCAACTTCATACAACAAAAGTATAAAGACAACAACAGAAGGATAATGTCACTGCTGGGATGACCCCGTCTGGGCAGACCCAGAACCAGATGGCGTGGACCCCGAAGGTCCAGAACTTGATGGTGCGGATCCTGATGATGTAGAACCTGAGTGTGCAGGCCCTGGTGTTGCTGAATGCTGGTACTGTTGGTTCATTGGCAAGGATGGCGGCGGCGGCACTCCAGCATGATATTGCGGAGGGTATTGCTGGTACGGTACTGTTGGAGGAGGCATATACCCGTAGGGAGGAGGATAAAACTGCTGACGATATTGGCCATGTGGTTGAGGCATGTTTTGAAAAGCATAATGCTGACTTCGTTGCTGCCTTTCTGCACCAGAATTGTTCTCGCCCGACCCTGTAGGCCCACTAGGAGCCCCTTCCTGGGATGGAACTATAGCCCCCATTCTTTGAGGATCCATTGATGGATAAAATGATCTCTCCTGTGAAGGTGGAGGTGGCATGTTGTAAAAGTGCACTGGTGCAGGTTGGTCTTGTAATTGGTTCTGCTGTTGAGATATGACTGCTCGAGGCAACAACCCACTATGAGCCACTGCCTGCTGCCTAGCTTCAGCTGTGCCCTCTGAGTCCTGTTTTGGTGCTTGGGGTCTACCCCACATTAACTTCAATCTCAAACCCTTTATTACCAGTTTATTAGAGAGTTCTTCTGCAGCCTTTTCTGCACCTTCTCTTGTTGTGTAGGTTACAAAAGCACATGCTCGTTGGAGTACCATCCTAACAGATTCTATTTCACCATGAGCATAAAATTGATCCCTCAAATCCTGCTCAGAAATTCTCTCATCAAGCCCACCCACGTATAGAGTTCTTATGCTTTCATCCTCAGGAGGTTCCAGGGAGGGCATCTCTCCAGCCTTGTTAAGCAGCTTCATTGCCACTGGATCATTGACTCTGCAGATAATTAAGATGAGATGTGAGCATTACAAACTTCTGAAATCCATACATTATAGTATATGGGCATGTACAAACATGCGACAGAAAGATTGGGGATATAGGTTTGTGAAAGCCATTGTGTTGGCCAAAAATGCTAACTAGAGGCAGCAGTAGTACACTCCTATCACCTGCCAAACGGAAAAAGAAGCTACAATCTTCAGAATAAATATCTTGAAATTAACGACTTTATCTACTTGGAAGGAAATTACATCTACCAATATTTCAGACAAGAATTTCATTCCCAACTGAAGAAGGTAGACTTTAATCTGAGGAAATAATCGAGTGGAAAATATTAAACATAAGAAACAATGCTAATCAACAAACAAATTCACAAGTTTTAAGTAGCCAACTGTAACTATAAGGAAAAAACATGCAACTTGAAATTCATTTTTCATTGTCATACTGAGAACAGGAAATATGAAGCATTGGACATACCCATAGTAACGATCTTTGATGTTTTGCTGTGACAACTCCCCAGTTATGGGCATCTCATGCCTGTAAGGACACTCAGCACCTCTTGTGCACTCACCCCGAATGTAGAAACTGCAGACATGTGCTCTGTTCCTTTTGTAATAGGGTGTTGTTCTTTGAAGCTTCAGAATAGTGTCACTGGGTCGTGCCTTTCCGTATGAAGATTCGTAGTCTATACCAGCTCTAGCCTGCACTCACCAATCAAAATTAAAATTAGACACTAAAGGATTCCAAAAGATTTACATAAACTAGTACTCTAACTAAGCCCCGTTGTTCAAGGCAAAGACAGAAAAGTTACCTTTCGGTCATGCTCCTCAGCGAAAAACTCCCTATTTACATCACTCTTTGGAATGGCATCGTTGGAACCGATGGCCAGAGCAGTATCTCGAACCTGAACTGGCAAGCCGTATTCCAGATCCAAGAGGCAAACTTGACAAACATTTTTCAACTTACTGCACGTCTGACAAATCTCTGACTTCTTAAATCGCGCATCACGACCAGGTCTCCACCTGAAAACGGTGAATGGCCGAGTGCAAATCTTGCACTCCTTGTCGTAATCAGCTCGTGTCATCCGGACGTAGGGATTGTCGCCCAAGCATGACTCGCAGATGATGGGAAAGTCTGAACGTTCCCAACCATCCGCCTCCACATTCCTGAGCAACCTGTGCGCCATATGAACTCCAAACTATTTTTAAAATCTAAAAATTGAAATTAAAATCAGAAACCCTAGATTCCTAAATTGAAATTAACAAAAGAAAAGGAAAAATCTGTGAGCTTTCACTAGAAACCCTAGAAACCCAAAACATGAAAAAAGATTGATCAATTTTGGGTCGGGTAGTGGACAAAGGAGACCTTGACAGAGCTGCAAACGACGGCGTCGACCCAGAACCAGCAACAGACGAGAGAGAAAGAGAGAGACAGACGAGAGAGCGACGAGAGAGAGAGAGAGAGAGAGGAGAGAGAGCGACGAGAGAGATAGAAGAGAGAGCGACGAGAGAGATAGAAGAGAGAGCGACGAGAGAGGGAGGAGGTGCTGGTGGCTGGACTCGTCGGAGAGGAAGGGGGGATGGGGTGGGAGAGCTGGGAGAAAAGGGGACGGAGAGAAAAAGAGGGACTCCGGAGTCCAATTATCCTGTTACAAATCCCTGTGCCTCCTGTTTCCTTCCTTATCTTTTGACATGTGTCCCTTATGTTAACACTGTTGACTTATTTTAACCTAATAAAATTATTATTTTTAAAATGAAAATAACAAAAGCACACCAACTCCAATACCTCTTCCTCGACTCTCTAGAGCATCCACATTGTGGGCATGTAAATTTGTGGGTGTAAAATTATTTTTACATTCCTTTTACACCTCCGGGGTGTAAATACATTTTTTGTTCCAATGGAAAAAGATGTAAATATAAGATGTATAATTGTTTTGTTTGTCTTAATTCATTTTTGTATTAAGTATAATACAGCCGATTGGCTCTACTGTTTTGACACGTGGCCCTATGCTCGAGGTTGGTCTGTTTTATATTATAAATCGTATAGCCGTGCGGCTATATTGTTTGTAAAAAGAAAAAGTATTTTTTTTTTGTTTTAAAAAATTTTCAAAAAATAAAATTTGTTTCTTTACTTTTGTTCTATTGCCCAAGTGCCTATTTCAATTACTATTTTATACAACAAAATTAAAGAAAAAGTGCACAAAATAATTAATTTCTATTTATTAAGTGTTTTGTGAAATCTTTTGGGTGTCTTAATTAAATTTCTCCATAGCCCAAGAGCCCAATCCGTCACTATTAGGTCATTACTCGAGTAACTATTGTCCCTTTTAGATTTTTTACTTTTTCAGAATTATTATACGTACAAAGATCTTAGTACTTTCACGTTTAATAATGTATTATACACGTCCGTACATATTTCTCATATTTAATACACGTAATTTTAAGAAAAATTTCAATAAGGCACAAAAAATTCACGCATTAGATAAATATTCTCACATATTATTGAATAAGCGTACAGCCGAACAGCTATACTCAGTTTTCCCTTAGTTCTTTTGAAAAATTGTATAGCCGTTCGGCTATACTGGTTTTTCCTCAAAAAAATAGTAAAGCCGACCGGCTCTACCCTTTTGACACGTGGCCCTATGCTTTGGGCTGGTCTGTTTTCTATTTATAAATAGTATAGCCGTGCGGCTATACTGTTTGTAAACAGAAAATTTTAAATTTTTTTTTTTGTTTTAAAAAAATTTCAGAATATAAAATTAGTTTCTTTGCTTTCGTTCCATTGCCCAAGTGCCTATTTCAATTACTATTTAATACAACAGAATTAAAGAAAAAGTGCACAAAATAATTAATTTCTATTTATTAAGTGTTTTGTGAAATCTTTTGGGTGTCTTAATTAAATTTCTCCATAGCCCAAGAGCCCATTCCATTACAATTAGGTCATTACTCGAGTAACTATTGTCTCTTTCCGATTTTTTACTTTTTCAGAATTATTATACGTATAAAGATCTTGGTACTTTCATGTTTAATAATGTATTATACACGTCCGCACGTATTTTTCATGTTTAATACACTTATTTTTAACAAAAATTTCAGTAAGGCACAAAAAATTCACGCATTATATACATATTCTCACATATTATTGAATAAAAATGACATATATGTATTTTTTAAAACGTATAGCCGCACGGCTATACTCAGTTTTCCCTTAGTTTTTTTAAAAAATGTATAGCCGTCCGGCTATACTGTTTGTAAACAGAAAAATTAACTTCTTTTTTTTTTCCAAAAATTTTCAGAATATAAAATTATTTTCTTTACTTTTGTCCCATTGCCCAAGTGCCTATTTCAAATACTATTTAATACAACAAAATTAAAGAAAAAGTGCACAAAATAATTAATTTCTATTTATTAAGTGTTTTGTGAAATCTTTAGGGTGTCTTAATTAAATTTCTCCATAGCCCAAGAGCCCAATCCGTTACTATTAGGTCATTACTCGAGTAACTATTGTCCTTTTTCGATTCTTTTACTTTTTCAGAATTATTATATGTATAAAGATCTTGCTACTTTCACGTTTAATAATGTATTATACACATCCTTACGTATTTCTCATCTTTAATACACGTATTTTTAACAAAAATTTCAATAAGGCACACAAAATTCACGTATTATACACATATTCTCACATATTATTTAATATAAAAAATATATGTATTTTTTAATACGTATAGCCGCACGGCTATACTCAGTTTTCCCTTTGTTCTTTTGAAAAATTGTATAGCCGTGCTGCTATACTCGCTTTTCCTCAAAAAAATAGTACAGCCGACCGGCTCTACCATTTTGACACGTGGGCCTATGCTTTGGGCTGGTCTGTTTTATATTTATAAATAGAATAGCCGTTCGGCTATACAGTTTGTAAACAGAAAAATTAATTAATTTTTTTTGTTTTCAAAAATTTTCAGAATATAAAATTAGTTTCTTTACTTTTGTTCCATTGCCCAAGTGACTATTTCAATTACTATTTAATACAACAAAATTAAAGAAAAAGTGCACAAAATAATTCATTTCTATTTATTAAGTGTTTTGTGAAATCTTTTGGGTGTCTTAATTAAATTTCTCCATAGCCCAAGAGCCCATTCCATTACAATTAGGTCATTAATCGAGTAACTATTGTCCCTTTTCAATTTTTTACTTTTTCAGAATTATTATACGTATAAAGATCTTGGTACTTTCACGTTTAATAATGTATTATACACGTCTGCACGTATTTATCATGTTTAATACACATATTTTTAACAAAAATTTCAATAAGGCACAAAAAATTCACGCATTATATATATATATATATATATATTCTCACATATTATTGAATAAAAATAACATATATGTATTTTTTAAAGCGTATAGCCGCACGGCTATACTCATTTTCCCGTAGTTCTTTTTAAAGATTGTATAGCCTTTCGGCTATACTCGTTTTTCCTCAAAAAAATAGTACAGCCATCCGGCTCTACCCTTTTGACACGTGGCCCTATGCTTTGGGCTGGTCTGTTTTATATTTATAAATAGTATAGCCGTTCGGCTATGTAAACAGAAAAATTAACTTTTTTTTTTTGTTTCCAAAAATTTTCAGAATATAAAGTTAGTTTCTTTACTTTTGTTCCATAGCCCAAGTGCCCCAAGGGCCTAAGGCCCAAGTCTTTGATCAATATAATTGTTATTAATGAACGCCAAGCCCATTTCCAGGGCTATTAGCTCAACTCCCCAATATTAACTAGATTTACTTTTCTATCATAGTGCTTTGTTTATAAACACCTTTATAGGAGTGTGTATTTTCGATGTGGGACTTTCACAAAACGCAGGCCAATAGAGAAATCTATATTTTCATTGTTGGTGCAATGTGAAAATATATTTAATGCCCTTCAAGGTTTCCGTGGCGCATCTGTAAATGCCATTCAAGGTCTTGCAGGACTGTCAACTGCAACCAACAAGAACAATGAGGATCATAACTTTCGTAATCTCGTTCAATTGTATGGATATCAAAACCATTATGGTGAGACTTTTGGGAAGTAATACTGGACAGGAAAAGTACCCTTGCTATAGGCATAATTGGCAGGTCACCAGCAGCAAGCCAGCAAGCACTACTAATGGAAATAGTTCTCACAATTTTTCAATTTCTAACACAGGATTGGGATCTAGTGGACTCGGCGGAGAAGATACGACAGGTAAAAGAGAAGAGAACAAGAAAATCCGGAAAAAAGACCATGACACAAAGCAACTATCATATGTACGAGCATAACACTTAAAAAAACAAAACTAAATACCAACCAGAGGACTGTTCAAATGAAAGGAAATGGACTCTTGCTTTTTCCATATTAGAGAAGCTATTTTACAGAAAATTCAATCTGGTGAAGTGACAAAATGTGTTCCAGCAAATAATATATATTTAAAAAATTAAATATATTATATTAAAATATTATATAGTGACCGAACTTTTCAGTTGTAACTTGCCAAATTTTTTAATAATTACAAAACAATTTATTATGCAACTAAATTTTACTAGTTTGTAGAGTTGAAATAGTACAAAATTAATTATATAAATATGTATTGAAAAATTATTCAAGATTTCCATGTCTTTGTTCAAAATTAGCTATTTTTCTCAATATTTTCATAGTTTTGGACCCTCAATATTTTTGTCCATACTTATCTTAAATAAATTACATTAAATATTAACTATTAACTTAAATAATTAGAGGACTATTCTAAACGAATAGGGTTTTGCTTGGTACTTAACTAAGTAAATAATTCAACCAATGTTTTGTATATATTAAAAAAGGTATGAAATTTTAGTATTTAATTTATTTTCTATATCTTTATTACAATTATTATCACAAAATGATACTTATTTATTAAGTACTTACATGTTTATATTCACTCCTTGGTCCTTTTAATAGTTATTTATTATTATTATTATTTTTTACAACACAAACTTGTACCCGACAAGATAGGTTTAAAATGGGCTAATTATAAGTACAACACCCAACCACAAACCCCAATTATTGGGCAAACAAAGCACAACAAAAAGTTCATCAAAGATTGGCTCCATTTCCTTGAGCCAATTTTACAGATTAAACATGACCTTAATGGCATTGCCTCCACCAGCACTGGTTTCAAATGCTTTTTCCACTTCCTTTTGAGAGAATCCAAAACGATGTGTTATCAGGGGCTTCACATCAACCTTACTACTTCCCAACAATTCGAGGCACAAGGGCCATGTGTTCTTGTATCGGAAAATTCCAATCACATCGACCTCTCTGCATTAAATCACGAAATCTTAAATAATAAGAATAATGCGTGTCACAAGTGAGTCATGTCTCACGAAATCTATTAGAGATGTGACACCAAATACAATACAAATGGTTTTACAAACTGAACAAATGAATAAATCAATGTATACCTGGCGGCAGCTGAAGTGAGTGGGAGAGTCAGCTCTCTCTGGCCCATTCCCACAAGGCAAACTCTGCCACCGGAACCAGTAGCACTCAAAGCTGTCGCCATGGTTTTATTAAACCCTGCACAATCGATGCTTACATCCACTCGAGTTCCCATAGCTTCTTTTATTTTAACAACTTCTTCAGCAACCTCCTTCAAAATAATTTAGATAAACTCATTAAAAAAAGGGCTGATGTCACCCTACAAATCCCGAACATGTGACAGCAGCATGTACCTCAATATTTGTGGAAACTTTGACAATCTCATGTGCACCAAGAGCCTTTGCAACAGATAAACGGTGGTCATTCACATCCGCCACGACAATTCTAGGTGCTTCGAAGGCACGAGCAGCCAACAATGTAACAAGTCCTATAGGTCCTGCTCCCATGACCAAAACATTTGTTTCTGGACCGACATTAGCCCGACGACAAGCATGAACACCAACACTTAAGGGCTCACACATTGCCCCTTCCTCCAAGCTTACATTGTTTGGTAGTTTAAAACACAGGTATCCAGGATGGACAACCTGTGAAATAAAATATAAGCAAACATCATGTATCTCAGACAGCGTCAAATTTGAATTTCCCACTAAAAAAACTATAGTATCTCAAAGTGAGTGTTGTTATTTGTACTATTTCAACTCACAGGACCAGTCCAATTCAATTGGACAATAGTTATAATTGATGTTTGGTAGGCCTGAATACATTTTAGACTAAGACACAAATCTTGCACAAAAATCCAGAATAGCCCATATTCAAAGAAGTCACAATTAAAATAAAGGGAGCTTCACTAATACACCCAAAATAAGGGTTGAAATTATAAAAAAAACCCCCACATGGAATACACTTTAGAAACACACCCAAAACTCATTTACTACATAAGAAATTAGTGTTTAAGTTCTTATAAATTACATGATTGCCATTGATCAACTGAAAAAAGAAGACCAACACAAAAAACTTAAATTGCACCCAAAACAAGCCCAACCCAATTTTATAAAAAAAAACCCAAACAATTCATTACAAACAAAAGGTCTTGAAAACCGTAGTTTCATTAACATGTCATGTTAATTAATGATTGTAATATTCTACACCTTTATTGTCATGTTGATTAATGGCTGTAATATTCCAATGTAGGGTAATAACACTGCTAGTTTCCTACAACATCCTATTTCTAATGCATGTTTACCCATGTAATGTTCCAGTGTAGGGTAATAACACTATTAGTTTCCTATGATATCCTAATTCTAATGCATGTCTAGCCATGTAATATTCCAGTCTAGGGTAATAACATTGCTAGTTTACTATCATGTTGATTAATGATTGTAATGTTCTAATCTAGGGTAATAACACTGCTAGTTTATTGTTATGTTGATTAGTGGTTGTGATGTTCCAGTTTATGGTAATAACAATACTAGTTTCATATGACATCTTATTTCTAATACATGTCTACTCTTATAATGTTTCAGTCTTGGGTAATAACACTGTTAGTTTCCTATGACATTCTAGTTCTAATGCATATCTACCCATGTAATGTTCTAGTATATAGTAATAACACTGTTATTTCCTATGACATCCTATTTCTAATGCATATTTACCCCTGTAATGTTCCAGTCTATGGTAATAACACTGCTAGTTTACTTTCATGTTGATTAATGCTTGTCATGTTGCTATTTCTAATACATGTCCACCAAAGAAAAGATGAAGAAAGAACAAACCAGACCAATTCAAAACAAGCTGAGCCCAGATTGTTAATACTATTATGTCATAGAAGTATATTGTTAATACTCTGTTATAGAAGTACATTGTTAATACTCTGTCACAGAAGAACGTTGTTAAACAAAAATGAGATTCATAACTGAAATAGTAACAAAAGTTGAATCAATCATCAAAGCTTAAAATACATTTCGAAAATCAACTAAAATCCGAAGAGAAACACATAATTGAAGCAAAAGATAAAAAATCTCAAGTCCAAACCAAACGACAACGACAATGATGACGACAATAATAACAACGACGATGTGGTATTTAACACACACAAATAAACTAAAAAACAACTATTAAATTAAAAAAATTGATAGCTGTCAATTTTTGGGTTTTTTTTTGGGTGTTTTTATAGTTTTTAAATGGTGTAGGATTTCTTTATAAAACTATGTCTAAGATTGAGTATATAACTAAATTTCTATAAAATAAACTCAAAGTCCAGTCATGCTCTAGTCAGCCTTATCCAATACTAAAGTTTCACTTGTGCCAAGCTTACAACGCTCCACGTGTAATCTTGTGATAGTTACAACTGGCATATAATATGCTGCAAATACGTGGATACCTGATTTGTCAGGCAACCATGAGTTGGAGGGCACCCGAAAAACTTCATCTCGGGGCATAGATTATATCGCCCTTGTTTGCATAGCTCACATCGCTTGCAATTGATGCCGGGCTCTAGTGCCACACGGTCACCGGGCACCAGATGCTTCACCTCACTCCCAACTTCCTCTACGATCCCAGCACACTCATGCCCAATTACCATTGGCTCTTTCACCACAAAATCTGCACATCTCATGTTCTGAAAATAGTAACAAACAACAACAATCAAAACAGGCCATTTACCAATTAATTTAACGTATATATTGTTTAACAATCAATAAACATCAAATATCGAATCCCCGTGAAGACGTGAGTTAAGTTAGTTGGTTAGAGTATTGTGCCCTGCCTTTGCTTTATCATGGATATAATAAAGACCCAAGAAGGGAAAAGAGGGGGTTGACCTTGAAGTGGTGAACATCACTGACACATATGCCAACAGCCTTGAGTCGAATTAAAACATCACGGGGTCCTAAAGAAATACCAAGAAAAGAAGGAATACAGGAAGTCAATTAGGCAAAAAGGATCACAAATAATAATTTGACCTGAAAAGTGAAAGAAGTTGGGTTTAAAAAAACAGTGATCCAGAAAAAGATCAAATTGGTACCGAGATTAGGGAGCTTGAAAGGTTGGATTTTGAGGGTGTTAACACCAAGAAGCCAAGCAGCCATGTTCTCTTGTTCACAACCATCTCTGCTGGCTTCCTTAAAACCATCACCTCCATCAGGCTTTCCTCCCTTACCCATTCGTATTGATTTTTTTTTTTTTTTTTTTTTTTTTTTTTTTTTTTTTTTGGGGGTTTGGATGCTTTTGTTGTTTTTGTTTATCCGGTCGTTATGATGACGGTCTGTGTGATCTGAAACCTGACCTGATGTTGAGAGATGAGATGGAAATGTGAAATGGCCTGCCACCTTCTTAAATCTATATGATGACGTGGGGGTCTCATCTTTTGATTGCACGCCTTATTTTTTTACAAAAAAAATTTAGACTAAGCACACCGTAATTTTTTTAGAAAAAAAATTTAGACTAACCACACCTGATTTTTTTAGAAAAAAAATTTAGACTAAACACCATATTTTTTCAGAAAAAAATAAAATTTAGAGTAAACACCTTATTTTATATACCAGAATAATCCAGCATTTAACGGTATGTGGCTAGTACTCATCTCATGCAAGGTTTTCCTTGCCACATTCGACCGCTATCCATTACATCACTGTTGGCTAGATTGTTCCAAGCACACCTAGATTAGTCAAACACATTGGCTTCAGGAATTTTCATGTTTATCCGATACACAATTTAATATATTTACACGTATTATAATTTGAGTGAATTCAATACATCGTATTTAGAATGACGTATGTTGTATTGACTAACAAAAAGATTAGTTACCAATATTTTTAGGACAAATAAGGTAGACAAATTTGGTAATTTCAGATTTAATTCCACCAAA